AGTATATCCTAAAAGTAATAGGATTACATGACTAAATAATTACTACTTTTCCTAGCATTGATTACTTTTTCTACGCTAATGGTGATACTAATTATAGAAATTTTTTGCCGTAGTAAATTATAAAAATAGATAAGTATAATTTAGTAGCTAACTTTTAAATAAATTACTTATCAATTTCAAATTAAGAATGGCAAATAGTTTGGTATGAAAGAAACTATAGAGGCAAACCTGACGTTGTATGATTAAAATATTAGGACAAAGAATACAAAAGTTATCGTGTAGTTTTATCATCGGAAAAAGTAGGATATAGATTATTCTTACGTTTATGCTTTTACATGATTTTGTGTTTTAGTTCATATTTTTAGATTGTCGATGGTTTTCTCTTTTCGTTTTAATTATTTTATATGAAGTAAATTTTTAATTAACTTTAATTGGACAGCTTAAGAAAGTAATTATACTAATAGGATTTCTAAAGGTAATTATGCAGGATTCCTAACGTGTAGTATTATATCCTAAAACTAATAGGATTATAAGACTAATATCTAGAATTCCGGTTATGTCCTTTTATTATGAGTTATTATACTTAATATTATAAGGTTATTTTTGTAAACCGACATTGTATTCATGCTTTTATAATAATATAGATAGGTTCAAAATATATTTTTTTTTGAAATTTTAGTAATTTTCACATATATTTATACTCCAAGCTGAAAACAGGACAGATCGGAATGGATTTGAACCACCAATTTCACTTGTAAAGGTGCACCCAATAAAACTGAGAAAATCTCACTTTATACCCATTAATTCTAAACTATTTACCCATTAATGCCCAGACCCAAACTATTTACTACTTCTACTCATGCTCCCCAAACTATTTACCCGCCTTTCTTCTTCCTCCTCCTCATTTTACCTTCCTCACTTTATACCCATCGTATTTTTTCCTATATAAAAAAATAATCCTTGTAAGGCCATCACCAGATGCAAGGCCAAAAATGAAAGAAAAGAAGCACGAATCTATTTCGAAATCCTCATCACTGATCGATTTCATATTCAAGATAACTACAGTTTAAGCTAAACACTACTTATATTAACTCCCGATAATTTAAAAAAATTTAGTTTGGTATTTAAGTAAATATAATCCTTGCAAATGATACTAGTAATATTTAAGCATCTCAAAAGATAAATCTAATAGAATTTACCGTTGAGCCATCAATTCCATGATTCACGAACTACAAATTATTTTTACATGCTCTGAAATCGAGCCCACCACATATATTTGCCTGAATGTTCTAAAATCTGATTTACGAATCTTGGAGCTGATTTGAGGTGATTGAGATCGAAATTTTCAGTTAAAAATCGAAGAAGAACACAACTACGGTAATAATCGAAGAAGAACATTGTTGCCTAACAGTATACCGCTACAGTATATTAATATACTATAGGAGTATATAGTTATACTGCAACAGTATACCATTATAGTATACAAATATATTGTTATGGTATACTGTAATAATATGCAAGATATTGTAACAACATGCTATAATAGTATATAATATACTATAATAGTATACTTATTACCCGTAAATTCACTTGCCTTTTCCCTTTTAATTTGCTTTAAGCTTTTACCCAGCGTGAGAGGCAAATTGAAAATACAAAAAAAAAAAAAAAAAATATTATACTATGTTATATAATGTAACGGTATACTCTTACAGTTAGATCCTTTTAGAATTTTGAAATTTTTATTGACAACTGATATTATTTCAGTTTAATAATTGAATTAAACTTTTCTTTAATTCTTTGCGTACAATTGTATAACCTGTTGGTATAACTATATACTATACTGGTATCAAATGTTAGTTAATATTTTTTTGGTTGTATTAGCTACATTTAATTGGTACACAATTTGATTATTCTTTAGTAATAATATAAAAAAAAGAATAATAAAAAAAAGTAAAAATAGTAAATGAAATTAGATTACGAAGAGAAAATGAATATAAAAAAAAAGAAGTTAAATGAAATTAGAATAGGAAAAAAGAAAAAAAATATGAAGAATACGAGAAAAAAAGGAGAAAAGAAAAAAGAAAAGAAAAGAAGCATAGAAATAAAAAAGAACTGGAGAATAAAGAGAAAATTCCCCACAAAACTTACTATGGGTAGGAAATGTAATTAGTTTATGGGTAGAAAAATAAATGGGTAGGCAAGGGTAAATAGTTTTGTTTTTGTGGGTAACTGTGTCAAAACCCCAATAATAATTACAACATAAGAGTCTTTGAGCATGAGTGCACGCACATATATTCAAGTAATTTTGAAGAAATATAACATTATAATACATTGTTTAGGGAGAGAAGTATGGGTTCACGTGAACCCATATCCCTCAAGCTGGATACGCCTCTGTCTACGACTATCTATCGTTTCTTTCATTTCGGTCATCTTACTATCGTTTTGTTATTTATGCTGCTTTTACATGGCTTCTAGGTGTTATCCCTTCTTGTTTTTTTTTTATTAATGTGGTGCTTATGTTTTCCTGAGCAAAGATTCTATTGGAAACAGTTTCTCTATCTCCAAAAGGTAGAGGTAAGGTCTGCGTACATACTATCCTCCCTAGACCCCACTTTGTGGAATTATACTGGGTATGTTGTTGTTAGTTATTAAGAGAACGCAAAATCTGAATTGTAGCAACACATATCTATACGGTGAATAATTTAAAAAAAAATAAACAGTTAGTATAACTATTTTCTTATCATGGAATCATGATTTTAAATACTTGGCACCAGGTGTTTAGGCCAAATTATATTGACTTATCATAATAAAGTTAAAGCACCTTTGATTTAGTGGAAATACTGATGGCGAAAGCCAGTTTCTCTACGCCTATAAAGCACGTTTTCAGGCTGCTGCTTCTTTTAATCTGGTACAAATCGAAGGTGTAAATTAAAGTGCCACATTCTCCTCTCCCATACCAAATTTCCTACACTTCATTGTCAATCGCAATCGCAATCTCTCCCTGCTGTGACCTGAGTTCGAAAGTGAGATCTATCATCTACGATTTCCTCGAACGGTATCCTTTCTGAGTTCGAAACCGTTCTGTTCTCTTTAAATAGAACGGTTTCCTTAACGGCGTTAAATTCAAAAGCAAGACGAAAACCAAAGAGGTAGGACGACTATAATAAGATCATTGTAGTCATGAAGAAGAGATCATCCTCTGATTTGTGTAATTGCGGTTGGCTGAGTAATGCATATTTCATGAGATGAACGGCAGGGGATATATTCGGTGTGGTGAAGTACCATCCCTTACCGTGCATCTTCGCGGCCTCGTTGTTGTTTTTCATGGATGTGGAATACACTCTTCGTATGATCCCATCTTCTTCCCCGCCTTTCGATCTAGGATTCATTGCTACGCGTCCACTTCATCGTTTTCTTGCTTCCAGACCTACTCTCAACACTGTTCTTGCTGGCCTTAACACGGTACGTACGCATGTTCTACGCGCATATTTTTAGATGAAATGATTACACAATTTAACCAACATGGTATATGGTTCGTTACTGAATCTATAATGTGTATACATTTTTATGTTCAATTACTGTAATTAATCTTTGGAATTTAGGAAAAACTAAGGGGGTTGCTTTATGCATTGAAATCATTTTCTTTTTTCTTGAGATACATGTTGAGGGGGTGATATTTTTATGAGATCATTGTTTTTGTACGTAGGTATTCGTGGGTATGCAAATGGTGTACATAATATGGACTTTCTTAATTGAAGGGCGACCACGAGCTACCATCTCAGCTCTGTTCATGTTCACATGCAGAGGCATTCTTGGATATGCTACGCAGCTGCCATTACCAGAGGTGAAAAAACCAACAACTATTTTGTACTATAAGCTCTTTGTTTTATCTTTTCATATGAATAAAAGTTCCATTTTTAAGATCTACTCTTCAATCTGAAGTCATAAGGGTGTCCAACTGTCAATTTTAGTCCTTTTCTTGATCGCATATGCTCTATCTAACACATTGCTTGTACTTATCTGGACAAATATATATGATAATAATATTTCTTTCTTAGCAGTTCCACTTTTCTACAATCAGAATCTGTGGTACCCCATGTTTTAATGTCGAACATATTATATTTATGTATTCCATGTGATCTTCCATCTACCCTTACTTTTTTTTTCTCAATGTAAACAACTTTACACTATGAGTGTACTTTAACCAGCTATTATAAAAAAATAACATACCCCTTATTTTTAAGGTTATTAATCTCATTTTTTATATATGGTTGCATGTAATCATCTTTTAAGTAACCTAATAGTATAAAATTCATTTATGCTGGCAATTGTATAGAAGTTAAAGTGTACTTTTATACAAGATGCAGTGCCAAAAGTGGAAAATGGCGCACAAAAATTACTTGCTCAGGCAACTGATTGTTTTCCGGTTTTGTGTATGTAGGATTTTTTGGGGTCGGGCGCTGATTTTCCAGTTGGGAATGTGTCATTTTTCTTGTTCTATTCGGGGCATGTTGCAGCATCCGTGATTGCATCACTGGATATGAAGCGTATGCAGAGATGGAAATTGGCTTATTTATTTGACACCTTGAACGTATTGCAAGCGATCAGATTGTTGAGTACCAGGGGTCATTACACTATTGATTTGGCAGTAGGAGTTGGTGCTGGGATTTTGTTTGATTCTTTGGCTGGAAAGTATGAGGAGAGTAGGAAAAAAGAATTATTTGCAGATAGTCCCAATGGCACCAGTAATGATGTGTTCCAGAACTCGCAAACGCACGAAAATGGTGAATATTTAAGTGTTTCTTCACATTAGAACTGTTCATTCAAATATGGTCATTATCATTTTCTAACTGTAAAAGCAACTCTGGCCTAGTGATTATATAAGGTCGTGATGCATTTGGATTCCTAACTTAAATCAATTCAATTGGGTAATGAACAAGCATGCCTGACCAGTGACGTTTCAAAAGCTTGCTATAGTAAACAACAGAAGTTCCAGCAAATAGAAAAACGTAAACTCACTGATTCTGCCAAGACATTCTACATCAAGGTTTAGTAACAGATCAGCGTATCACAATAGAAAACAAACTACATACACATAAAAGAAATCTAGACCCTAAACTACCACAGATTGATATTACAGTAATCAAATTGAATCCAAAAGTCAGTAAACATGTAACATGAGATGTCCTAAAGGGTGATTCAGATGATACATTCAGCAGCTAATAGGTGCAGGTGACTGATGCTGTTGGGAATGAGCCGGCCCTGGTTGGTTAATCTTGTTATTTCCCATAACCAAATCAGTTCCTTTCATTTCTTTCTCCTCTTCCTGCGACCTATTTTCGCCATCATTAGATTCCCCATTAACAACATTTTCCACATCTTTGGAACTTCCTCCTACTGCTTCATTGATCCCTTCTGCGGTGACAACTTCTGGCTTGTTCTCATTCACATCAGCTGCAGGACTTTCTTTGTCACTTTGAGACTCCAGCTTTTCTCCAGATACTTGTTTGTCCTCAATCTTTGCATTTTCTGACTTGTCCTGTTTGCCATCATCAGCACTGTCAACTTTTCCGGGTTCAGATTCTGGCTTCTCCTCCGGGTGTAGTTTAGCACCCTTCATGCCCTCTGCCTCTTCATCCGCAGCTTCCACCTCTTTCTTCCCCTTGTCATCCATTTCAGCTTCTGCTCCTCCATCTTTCTTCTCCAAGTTTTCATTTTCTTCTTTGGCAGATTCCATCTCTTTCGTTTCTGAACTTTCCTGGTCAACTCTTGCAGCTTCTGCTTCCTTGCTATCTTTCTTTGCACCAGATGATGTTCGGCGTCTTTTCTTTGGTGATTCAAGTAGTGATTGTGGTCTCATTGCCTTTGCCTTCTCACTGATCCTTGTTGATCTCCTTGGAGTCTCGCCGGTACTCCAGTCAAATTCTGATATTGCAGGGTTACCAGGGTGTGATTTGAGATACTGCTCCAACTGTTTGCGGTTCTTGAACTCCTCTCCTGTTGGAGCAATAAATACAACCTCATTCCTCTTTGGTGTACTCCCTTGCTTCGGAATGAACTGCAAAGCGACGGAGGTAAAATCTATGTCAAGTGAACAAGTAAGCTACACAGCAGCATGTTTTGAATTCCCTTAGATACGACTACCTCTCCCAGAGAATCTCCAGAGTACACTACAACGCAGTTACAAACTACTCTCTCTACCTTTCACATCTAAGGTTGCACACTGATTTTGTGGCAACTAGGAAGGGTTACATTAACACTGATGTGCTTCACAATGTTTAAAGTAAGGGCCTGACTCCCCTATCATGATGCCAAAGATGAACTATCTAAGCTCACGAGAAAAATGATAAACACAGCAACCAAAATATGAACAAGAAAAAAGGCTCTTACTTCTCATCTTTTGAGGTAAATAGATGGATCGAGTCATACTGGTTATGACCCAAACTACCATGAAGGATGTTCAGGTCAATATTGTTTCGGAATATTGTCTACGGTCGGGTATTTAAGTATTTTCCCCCCTCCTATCCACTTCCATTCTATACCCCCCCGCCCCACCT